TCGCTAATAGCAACCTCAAACTCCTGACTCAAGCATCCTCCTGCCTCAGCCTCCCGAGTAGCTGGGAACTACAGGCATGTGCCACCATGCCCGGCCTAATTTTTGTAAATATATTTTTAGTTGCCAGATTAAGTTCTTCTTTTATAGTAGAGACGGGGTCTTGCTCTTGCTCAGGCTGGTTTTGAACTCCTGACCTTGAGTGATCCTCCTGCCTCAGCCCCAGCCAGTGCTTGGATTACAGGCGTGACCAGCACGCGCCTGGGCCAGACCTGTGGATTTTATTGTACATGAGTGTCAAAAGGTCATTGCAATGGTTTCAGATTTCACCTTGCAACTAGCCTTTGAGAAACTACTATTTGTCAAGGTTTGGTGTGATATTAAAGAAGAATATCCATAATTATCTAAAAAAGGTATTGACATACTCCTTTGTTTTCTAGCTATATATTTATATAAAATTATATTTTTTAATATATTTTAACCACAGTAAGGAATCAGAATAGATTGAATGCAGAGCCATCTGAGAATCCAGCTGTCATCTGTTAAGCCAGATATTAAAGAGATTTGCAAAAATGTAAAATAGTGCCACTTTTCCTACTATTTTTTGTTTTGTTTTGGAGATGCCATTTTTAAAAATAAAAAATATTCTATTTCTGTTAATGTGTAATGGATTTTATTATTGTCTTTTTAAATGAATTAATCAGCATTTTTAAAAAATCTGTTTCTGATTTCTGATAGAGCAAATATTGATAAATATAACTCACTTAAAGCTCTTTGGGGTTCTCAGTGATTTTTAAGAGGGCAGAGGGGTCATCGGAACCACTGTCATGAGACATCCAGCAGGAAGGGATGCATTTTGGATAATGGCACCATCCCCAAAGTAGCAAAGGGTGTTTTTTAAAGAACCATTTATAATATTTGCTCACAAAGGAGTCTTTTTAAGATTTGGAATTTTTTTCCATTAAGTTTTCCACATTTTAGGCAAGAATGTGAGTGGGTTGATTAGTTTTTCATCTGTTTTGAATTTCCTTTTAGCTGTTGTCAAAAAAGTCCTTGCTGCAGCCGATCCATGTGATAGCAAGAGCAGGGTGCGGTATCATTAGAGATGTTTTAATATAGCATACAAAGAACCATGCTGTAGTCACAAACAAACACTAATGCATTTGTTACTGAGTCAGGTTTTTATTATTAAGATCTTCTATCTTATTTAGACCCCATCATTTTGGTAAGTACTTTATTATAGCTTGCAGAATGGTCTTCGATACAGATAACTTTATGGAAAACATATTGTTGGTGTGAGGCCAGTAATTTTTAAGGTGGTCAAATGTAGATGGACTTTTTTGTAGTTGTTTTTGTTAGTAAAAGTTTTAGTATCAAAAGCTGTTGCTTTATATTGTATATATCAGGGCTGAAAAGAACTGCAAACTAATACTTTATAATAGGAAAAATATGTAATCAGATTGTTAATAGGACAAGCATATGCTCTTAGCAAGTTTTCAAGGTGTCACCTATGACTGCTGAAAATAAGTAAGGCTTTGGAGATGGGGGAAATTATACAGAGAGAGGGCTCATAAATAGAAGGAGGGGTCTTTATCATTCAAAAATAAAAAATATAATTGCTATGAGACTAGATCAACAACGAGTTCTCAATTAGCAGAGGGCTTTAAAGAAGGCATGCTGGCTGGGCGTGGTCCTTCATGCCTATGATCCCAGCACTTTGGGAGGTCAAGGCAGGAAGGTTGCTTGAGCTGAGGAGAGGCCAGCCTGAGCAAGAGCAAGACTCCATCTCTACTATGATAAAAATAGAAAAAATTAGCTAAAATTAGCTGGGAGTGGTGGGGCATGCCTGTAGTCCCAGCTACTCAGAAGGCTGAGGCAGGAGGATCTCTGGAGCCCAGGAGTGGGAGGCTACATTGAGCTATGATGACACCACTGTACTCTAGCCAGGGGCAACAGAGCAAGACTGTGTCTCAAAAATATAAATAAATAAATAGAAATTTTAAAAAATTAAAGAAAAGAAGTTTTGCCCTAAATTGCTGAGAATGATTTGTAACCATTACTTGAATTGTTTGTATTTTTGTTCTCTCAAGTAGCTTAAAGAGACTTATCTTATTTACATTATTAATTTGCTTGACAACCCTTGTCTTTATAGATAACACAAATAAATAATCTTCCTGAGCACTGTTTCTCAAAGCGAAGTCTAGGGGTTTGTGGAATATATATTATTGAGGACCAAGAATCAAAAAGAACTTTAAATATTTGTCCCTTATTTTTATGATAATATTAAAAATTATTAGTTATAAAGACAAACATTTTACAGTGGTTATTTTTAATTAGAGAAATATTTTAGTAAAGTAAGAGCTTAGTTTGATAAATTGATGTTTCTCCAACTGTTCTATGGGCCTGGGTGAGATTAAGATTGAGGAAATGATTTCTTTTCAGATGAGGGTTTCTCAGTTTTGAGAAATGGTCTTTTAGACTCCACCATCTGCCCATTCCCTACTCCACAGGTTTGACGCAGATGGAAAATCTCCTCATTTTACAGTTTGCACTGCTTTGAATGGAAAACAGTGAAAGCACAATGACAGACCTAAATTGATGTTGGACTTAAAAGACAAGTTCAATGGACAGCACAGTGCCTATACTTAGCCATACTGTATTGTATACTTAAAAATCCATGAGGAGGGTAGACCTTAGGTTAAGGTCTCGTAAAAAATAAAAAATAAATAAAAGGGCAAGAGGAAACTTCTGGAGATGATGTATATGATAATGGAGTAGATCGTGGTGATGGTTTCATGTTTATTATGCTTATCTCCAAATTCATCAAGTTGTGTACAGTTTTTTAAATATACACAACTTTTAAAATGTCAATCATACCTTAATAAAATAGTTTTTAATTTTTTTTCTTTAATTTTTCCTTCTTTAATTTTTTTTAAATTTAATTTTCTTCTTTTTTTTTTCCTAGTCCATATGCTACAGCAGAATAAAATAGTTTTTAAAAAGCTGAAGTCTGGCACCGAATGTGTACTGTTAGATTGCATGCGCGTGTGATAGAATTGAACAGCGGTTTTATATTTTTATATTTCAGGTGGCTCTTCCCCATTTGGCATGATCCTCATGACTGACTTGTGAAATTAGGCAAGGATGCTATCTGCATCCTGTAAGCAAATGACAACAACTGTGAGACATTTGGGGACCTGTCTCTGTGCAGTCCCACTGCTGGGGCTAGAACCCTTATCCTCTATCATTGTTACTTCTGAGGAGGCAGCAAACTTCCCAGCAAATTTTCCACAGAGAATGCCATTTCCACTGAAATTCTCCATTCTCTGTGCTGTGCTAATGCTCTCTCTGGCTCATTCCCACAGTCCTTCCTGGGCCAGGCTCTGTGTCCTGATTCTGTGCAGAGTTGCAGTGGTCTTTGACACTCTGATGCTTGGCTACTGCTTCAGGTCCACCTTCTCACTAGCCTCCTTTCTTGAGCTCTGAATGGTTCTGTGTTTCCACATCTCTTCTGGACATGTCAGCACCTCATTGAACGTGTCCAAACTACATTTAATGTTCACTCCAGCTCTTCTTTCTCTGGACTGTCTTGTCTAATCAGCAAGAGTAGAACCTGAGAGTCACCCTGGAATCCTCCCTGACACTCGTGTCCCTCTCAGACTCCTCATCCAGTCACTAACACTAGTGGATTCTATGTGTTAAATGTCCCTTGGCCGGGCGCGGTGGCTCACGCCTGTAATCCTAGCACTCTGGGAGGCCGAGGCCGGTGGATTGCTCAAGGTCAGGAGTTCGAAACCAGCCTGAGCAAGAGCGAGACCCCCATCTCTACTATAAATAGAAATAAATTAATTGGCCAACTAATATATATAGAAAAAATTAGCCGGGCATGGTGGCGTGTGCCTGTAGTCCCAGCTACTCGGGAGGCTGAGGCAAAAAGATCACTGAGCCCAGGAGTTTGAGGTTGCTGTGAGCTAGGCTGATGCCACGGCACTCACTCTAGCCTGGGCAACAAAGTAAGACTCTGTCAAAAAAAAAAAAAAAAAAAAGTCCCTAAAATTCTTCCCTTCTCACATTTGCTTTCATCTGGACTATTGGAGCAATCTCCTGACTTCCATCTCTGATGATTCTAAATATCTGTGGTCATGCCACCCCTTTTGCAAATTCTACTTGTGCCTACTGGAGAATCTAAGCTCCTTAGCTTGGTGTTCAGGGCCTTGGGTGATCTGGCCCTGAACTGTCTGTAGTGTCACCACCCATTGCCACCAATTCCCTTGTGGCCCACCCTGCCCCTACCTTGCACTCAACTGGGACAAATCCACCTGATTCATGTATATCCTCATGCCTTTGCATTAGCTGTTGCTGTCATGCCTACCCCCTCTTGTTCTTGCAGACTCAGAATCCCAAGGCACCCTACAAGTCGGGGCTATATTTCTGTTCATTTTGGTTCCCTAGCTCCAAGCACTGTTCCTGGCACACAATGTGGGCTTGTTGTATGTTTGAGTGAATAAAGCCCCATGTGAATTTCTTTATCCATTCGAAGAAAGCAGAATTTTGTAACCTTTCTCTTCTCTGATTTCCTTGTTCCAAATTTAATCAACTGTTTTGAATGCTTGCCTAGAAATAACAATTAGGGTGCCAGTGGTATAGCTGAGTTAGTGTGTGTATATATGTGCACATGCACGTGTGTTTCACCTGTCAGTTTTTGGCATCTGGGAAAGACATTTTCGTTTGCATTGGGACATCAATTATATCCAAAAACCGTGTTTCTAAAAGGAATAGGAAACATGAATGAATGGGTCAGAGTTCAGAAAACTCCAGGCAGTTTTCAAACCAAATTTGGTAATGTTGATTTAAAACTGCTCAACAAAAAAGCACCCAAGTATAATCATGGAAAATATTAGTGCTACTTTGTAAGTAGCACTATACTGTTAAGAGACTTGTTCATTGAAATTATGTTAATCATAGAGAAAGACTACAAACTTTCTCCTTGTTTGTTTTAACAGGATCAGTTTGACAACTTAGAAAAACACACACAGTGGGGAATTGATATTCTTGAGAAATACATCAAATTTGTAAAGGAAAGGACAGAGATTGAACTCAGCTATGCAAAGCAACTCAGGTAAGTTGTTGATATTGAAAAAGGTTATTTGTTAACTGCAAATGGATGTAAGGATAATAAATATATAGGCTTTTAAATATTTTCCTTTTTATATAAGGGAATATTTCAATAGAAACAATTGTTTTTAATACAGAAAACTATTTTCATAAAACAGTAAAAATAAAAACTAAGTCATTGCTTTTAGGCTCAGTTTGTTTCAAAAGGATATTTGATGAATTTTGGAGCAGCTTGTTTTTCGGTAAACTTTTTATTGAAATATAACATCTGTACAGAGAAGTACACAAATCGTAAGTGTGCAGCTCCATAAATTTTCACAGCATGAACACACCCATGTGTCTAGCACTCAAATCAAGAAACAGACTGACTAGCCTGAGAGGCCACCCTAGCCTCTTCCAGGTTGTTACCCTCCCAGCAGGGTAATTATCTCCTGACTCTAACTTCATGGATTACTGGGACCTGTTTCTGAATTTTATAATGTAATCACTTGGTGTGCATTCTTTTGTGTCTGGCTTCTTTTGTTCTCATGCTTGTGAGATTCAACCATGTTGTTGCATGTAGTGGTAGTTTGCTTATTTCGCTACTGTTTTTAGTATTTTGAATGTATCACTATTCATCCATTCTACTGTCACTAGATATTTGGCTGTTTCCAATTTGGGGATATAATGAATAGTGCTCCTAGAAGCATTATTCTATAAGGCTTTTTGTACATGTGTGAATGCATTTCCCAGTATATACCTAGCAGTGGAGTTGCAGGGCCACAGGCTATGTGCATGCTTAGCCTCAGTTGATAAGGTCAAACCATATTCCGAGGTGCTTGTACTAACTCACACTCCTTCCAGCAGTCTATATGGAACAGTATTTTAAAAGCACTTAGGACCTCCTTAAATTTTTATATATAATCTTTATAAATATAAATCTTTAAAGATTTAATGATTTTAAAAGTTGTTGGCAGACCTACCCTTGAACTTGAAGTGGCATGCAAAATCTTCAATGATTTCTTATTGTGTAGTTGAATTGGTTTGTGCATATTGCTTTAAGACTTGTTAAAGTGCTAGATGATTTTTGGTTTAGAAATATTTAGTTTTATTCCAAAGAGCATCTACATAAGGGATATGTCATATGTCATTGAAAGAATATATGTTCTTATAGGATTTTTGTTGTTTAAATAAGCACCTAAGTGGTACATATGGGATATTTTTAGGGATAACAGGTTTTGTTTCCATTGAGTAAATAACATGTAAAACATTGCTCAATTAAATCATTTTTATAGCCAGAGGATGCAGATTGTATGCATATCAGCCTCATTAGCACTTTAAGGCTTTTAGAACTGAAAGTAGGAATAGAACATAGTCTGCTTCATATTGATCATTTAAGTATTGCACTGTTAGTCATGAAATGTCGTCTTTCACGTGAAAATGGGCCATACAGCAGCGTTAGCACAGCGTCCAGGTGTCCTTCCTACCTCAGTCTCACTTGTGGGCCCCTTGGTCTTCCTGCCTCTTCACATCGAGGTGCCCAGCACCCAGTTCTCAGTCATTCTCCCTCTTCAGTCTGGATTCCCCATGACCTCATCTGTCTCTCGGCTTTAGGCATGATCCATATGCAACAATGCACAGATATGGATCTTCAAGCCAGGCCTCCCTCCTGAACGCCAGAAACAGCTTGCTCAAAACCTCTATTTGGATGCCTAAAGCACCTCTGAAACATGGCTGAAACTGAACTCCTGATCTCCCCAACACAACGTCTGCATTTCCACAAGCCCACTTTCCCCACTCACTTGAGGGTAGCTGCATCCTTCCTGGCTTAGGTCGAAAACACTGGAGTCATCTCTGGCTCCCTCTTTCTCTTACACTCCCCCATCCAAGCTGTCAGGAAATCCTTGCAACTCTACTATTCAGATTTATCTGGGATTCATCCACTTCTTATCACCTCCGCTGCTGCCACCAGGGTCCAAATCACCACTCCCTCTTGCCTGGATTATGACAAATCTTCTAAGTGGTTTCCCTGATCCTACTCCATATTGCCTGTCTGGTTTTTACAGAGCAACCAGATCACAGTATCCTTCTGTTCAAAATTTCAACAACTCCCCATTTAATTCTGAGTAAATCCAAAAACCATACAGTGAGTGCCCTGTGAAAGCCTACATGATCTGGTGCCCCGTACCCTTCTGACATCATCTCTTTCAACTCTCTCCTCCTTCCTGCTGTCTAACTGTACAGAGGCCTCCTTGCTGTGTCTCCTACTTACCAGCCGTGCTCCCGCCCCAGGGCTACTGCACCGGCCTTTCGTGTAGACACTACCTACATGTTCTTCCCCACTTCCCAGGATGGGTAGCTGACTCCTCACCACCTTTCAGTCTCTGCTGAGGAATCACCTGCCCACCCAGGCCTACCTTGGGTTTATCCTGCTTTGCTTTTCAGTTTTTCCATAGCACTGGTAACTTTCTACCTTTCTATATATTTTTCATTTGTCTATTTTTTAAAAAATTGACAAAAATTATATATATCTGTGGTGTACATGATGCTTTGAAATATGTATACATTGTGGAATGCCCAAATAAGGCCAATTAACATATATATCAGCTCATTTTTTTTATGGTAAGAACACTAAAATCTGTTCTGTTGGAAATTTTCAAGTGTACAATGCACTGCTATTAACTATAGTTACCACACTGTACAATAGATCCCTTGAACTTATTCCTCCTATCTCACTGAAATGTTGTATCTTTTGACCAACATTTCCCCAACTCACTCATGTAAATTATTTATGTATTATATTTATTGTTCATTGTTCCTGCTTCCTCTCTGCTAGAATGTAAGCTCCTTAATAGTGAGGACCCTTGAGCTGTGTTCACTGATGTGTCCCAATAGTGTAGAACAGTGCCTGGCACACAGTAGGTGCTCAGTAAATATTTGTAGAAGGAGTGAATCAATAGGGTACAGGTCTAAGACATTTAGTCAGCATTGCTTCAAGGGGAATTATGTGTTTGCAGCAGCCTGTAAGAGCTGATGAGGCTTTAACAACCAAAAGAACAAATAACAAGGAGACAACAGAGTTCCAATCACTGGGGATGCTCTAATGAATAGGACACAGGAGATGCCTGAACCTAGGGAGTCACCTTCTCACTATGGAAAACAGACTGCATGCAAATAAACAGAGAATTGGCTTATTTAAAGATAGCACTCATCACTCCAAATAAGTAAAACCAGTGATGCGGCAAAGAATGAGGGGGCTGGGGGAGCTTACCTAGCTAGGCTGGTCAGGGAAAACCCAGTACTTGAGAAGGGAAGGACAGAAAGGAGCCAGGCATGTGAAGATGTGGGAGGAGCCCTTCCAGGCTGAGGCGCGAGCGAGTGCCTAGATCCTGAGTGGGGAACATGTGCAGAGAATGCAAAGGCCTGTGTGGCTGGAGCGTATTTAACAAAAATTGAAATTTCAATATAATGTTGAAAAATTGATGTGACCTTTAGAGACCACTTCAGTCATTAAATAATTTTTTTTCCTGCATCAAAGGACACAAAATCCTAACTTATTTAGACACAGAAGATGATAAATAAGACTTCAGTTCCTGTAGGTCAGGGCTTGGCAAACTAGGCCCCATTGGCCGACTCCATCCCCTGCTTGGTTTTGTAAATAAAGTTTTATCGGAACATGACCATGCCCATTCATTGCATATTGTCTATGGCTGCTTTTGCAAGACAACTGGCAGTTGAATGGTTGCAACAGAGACCACAGTCATCTGCAAATCTGAAATATTTACTGTCTAGTTTTTTATACAAAGTTTGCCAACCCCTGCTGTGGATTGATATCTATTCAAGGCAGTGTAGGTTGAAATTCCTAATATAATTTTAAAACATCATATATAACCTGTATAAGAAAACTGGTTATTGATTGCCCATAACAACTATTTCATTAAAAAAAAATTTTTTAAAGCTCAATTATTTGTTATGGCTAGATAAGGAATACATATGATTAGAAAATTCCAAAGGTATGAAATGGGATATAGTGAGATGTCCCTTCTCCTACCCTTGTCTAGTAGTTTCCCTCCCTGGGGAGAACTGATGTTACCAGTTTCTCATGTGTCCTTTATGCATATATAGGCAAATACGTGTGTGTTTTCTTCCTGATTAGCCAGCAGTGCAGTATACCCTTTGCTTTTCTGCTTCCTGGAGATTGTTCAAAGAGTTCATTTTTTATTTTTACAGCTATACAGCAGTATACTGGATTGATGAACATTGAACAAAGTTGCCATGAATACCCTTGAATTGTATCCCTGGCAAGCATGTCTGGAGGTTAAGAACCTAGAAGTAGCACTTCTGATTCCGGGAGACGTTGCCCAGTCGCCCTCCACAGAGGCTGTGGCCCTCAGCGCCCCATCAGCAGTGTGTGGTGGTGCCTGCTAACCTCACCCTCGGGGGTGCTTCCTGTTAGCAAACTCTGATCTGCTGATTTTTGATACGTAAATATCAGTACATCTCAGTGTTAATTTGCATTTCTCTTAGTATGAATGAGGTTGAGCATCTTTATAAACATGTAAGCCATTTGTACTTTCTTTTTTATGAACCAGTCAGGTTCTGATCTGTTTTTGTTATTGTAGCTCATTGCGCATAAAAGGTGACTAGGTAGGAGTCATTTTATAAAACATATTGCATATTGTATGTATCATATATATAAAGAATTGAATTTAAATTTACTTTAACAGTAAAAAAGACACTAAAGTGCAACTGAGGGATTTGCTTGAGTTCATTCTCATTTGAGAACGCCATTACACAAACATTTTGACTTGATTGTTTGTTCTCTGGTCATACTTCCTCTCCAAACATTGTTGCTGCATCATCTTTTGGTGGAAAAGTCTAGGATCAGCCAGATTTTTTTTCTTTATAACCGTCTTGGATTTTTCTGAGTAAAAAGAATTTTTTTCAACTTAGCAGTTTGATAACTTCACCAAGCATGATGTTGATCATTCTTCATCAGTTTTTCTTAGAGCCATTTCCCATGCAGATTCTATTTTTCATTTATTTCAGGGCAACTTTCTTCAATTATATCTGAGTGTTTTTTTCTACTCAACTTGCTGGGTTATATAGTTCAGAGATATGAGTTATCCTTATATTACATCTTCTTATTTTTTAGATCCTCCTTTTTTTCTGATTTTGTTAGTTGTTTTCATACTATGATTATTTCAAACCTTTCCTCTATTAAATTTGATATCCAGCCTAATGTGTTAGTTCTATAATATGTTTTAGTGCTTAGTTCATTTCCCTAGTTTTTCATCTCCCTTTTCATCCCATTCTGTTTTATCAGGTAGTCTTGGGATTCTTGCTTTATTGGCTTTGTGTTTTCATTAAGTTTGTCTACAGTGTAAAATAATCTGGAGGAGTCTGAGTTTGCTTATTTCCCTTATATATTTTTGTTTTCAAACTGGAGTTCTCTCTTTCTCTCTCTCTCTCTCTCTCTTACTCTTTCTTCTTTCTATATTATCTGTCATATCTCATCTCTTTTCACCTTGCTTATATTTAGTAAAGGTGCTTTAGTGAAGTGGTTGAGTTTCAGACTCTGGAGTCTCAATGCCTGGGATGGAATCCTAGTGCTTCCACTTTAATAGCAGTAGGATTTGGGGCAAATTACTCTCTGTGCTTCATCTTTTCATCCATAAAACCTGAATCATCATCATAATAATCCCCACCTTACAAGGGTTTTGAGGGGACTTAATGAGATAAAGCAGGTAAAGTTCTTAAACCTACACTAGGCTAGTTTGTTTTTGTTGTTGTTTGTAGGCAGTACCATTGCCCTTTTGCTCTGATGGGGTGAGGAGTGTAGGCTAATGCTCCTTGCCCTGCTTCCTTCTTTCTCTGGTACTGGAGGCCTTTCCCTCTGGGTTCCATGTGAGGTAAGTTCTGCTGGACTTACTGAAAGCTGAGGACAGGTGGTTATAGAGTCAGGGTCCAGAAAGGGCCTGGCTTTGAGAGTCTGAGCTCTGCTGTCTCTTTTGAAACTTTGTTAGAGGTTCTGTTTTGGGGTTTACTCCGTTAGGCCATAGATGTGCTCTAATACTGTGGAATGAGGTTTGGAGTGAATACCCCACGGGCTCGGCATAGAGGCCTAGAATTTGCAGCCCCTGCTCCTGCCCGGCCCCGAATCCCTCAGAGTGGTCCCCATGGATGCCTTCCTCTCAGAGTACTTTTGTCACTGTTCCCTGAGCACTTAATCATGCCTCAGTTTACTTCTGTCTGAATTGATTTCTAGGGTCTGTGGACTTATTTCCTTTCCTGTGCCTGTGAGGGTGGGGTCTGAATCCTTCCCAACCTGCCCCAGAATTTTCTGTTCCTCTCCTTGGTCGTCACTTTCTAAAGTGTGCGGACTGAGTTTTGACTCCACTCTTCATTTGTTTTCCGCCATTGAAATTTTTCTTGGCTTTTGTTTTTCACCTTTTGTGGATGGGAAGGCACAATTCTCTGATTGAATTTTATTCTGCCATCTTTATCCAAAAACCTTGTGGTGAGCTTTTACAAAAATAAAAGAAAGAGTGAAAAAAACCCAGAAAACATTCCTGGGCCCCACCCTGGCCTCGGTTTCTGAGGCCCAAGCATCTCATTTTGAAAAGCCTCCTTGTGGTTCTTAGGTCGACCAGGTCTAAACCCAGCATCCTTAATAAAGGATGTCTATTTTTCTCTTACTTTTTAGTCTACCTTAAGAGCAGGCTGAGGATAGAAAACAATTCAGATTTCAGAAAGACACTATAAATGTAAAAGGCTATGTTTTCTATGGTTTATTTGCTTGTTGTTTTTTTTTTTTTTAAATAACTTGATACCAAAGGAAGGAGAAGCCTCTCCCAAGAGAATGGAAATGGAATGCTGATCTTGTTTTAGTAGTAGTTGTTAAGAGAAGTATCCTTAGAACTGAAGTTCACTTCTAGGTCTCTTAAGCTTTTAGGTTTCTGCTGGTATTTATAGAGTGAATTATTCATTAGTGCCTTTAAGAAGCACTTTGAATGTGATATATGCTAACATTGTCAAAGTGATGTTCATCAGAATCTGATGGGCTTTACAGAATATCACCTGCAGTGGGTCTTTAATTCTGTTTAGAATTTGAATGCTGAAAGGGAACTATAAAGAACACTGGTTTTCCTGGATCTATTCAAGCTAGGCTTCCTTCAGCTAGATGTAAAATTTAAATAATTTTTATGGCTGCTAAAGACTGGAAGTTAAAAAAAATGTGGATTTACATAACCTTTAAAATAACAATTTTGAAATAATTTTTATATGAGGTATGAATTTAGAAGTGGCATTTTAAATTCGTAAGTTATAGGTAACAGAAGAAATGGTTACTATTTAAAACCATGCACTCAAAACATCTCACATGTAGCCACTGGACTTTTCCAGTACTCCAGTCTCTAGTATGGGCTGCTTTCAATATGTTTGGAAAAGAACCTATTGATCATGGAGTCATCTGCTTTGCATGCATCTCCTCCTGTTCCTGGTCCTGTGATGGTGTCGTTTTTACTACACCTACCTTTTAGGGAGCAGCTGTGACACACCAACTCAAAAAACTATACTGTGCTTTTAACATAAAATATTTCTCCTTTTTGCATTTTTTTCCTAAGGCACTTCCTTTAAGGAAATAATGCCTTTTCTCATCCTTTTGGATATAAATTTATTAGATAAATTCTGCTGTGTACCCACAGTATCTGTAGAGAAAGCATGCTGTAGTTTATATATTTAAGTGTATGCTTATGTGATAGCAACCTTCAAGTACGTACATTCTTCTTTCAGTTGGCCTAATTAAAAATTTTAAGCTATTATATATTCATGTCTTCATTTTTTAAAAATAATTGCAACAGTTACTATTCCATTGGATGTTAGATATTAGATATTCCCTCAGAATTTCAAAACTAGAAGGGGCAGTAGAGGTCATGTTATCCAAGCCCCACCAACTTACACATGAGGAAGCACAGACTTGTTTATTTGTTGAGGTCGCCTTGTCCAGGCACAGGTCTCTGGGTTCCCAGCGCAATGTCCTTTTGACTATAGTCCATTGCCTCTCGCGTCACCTAATAACATTTGTGAGAGATGAAACCACATTTCACCGTATGTAAAATGTGCTATGATTAAAATTGTGTAAGTTTATTATCACATATTTTTCTAGACAAGTGTGTAGATTTGGGGGAAATGGAAGAAATGAAAGTAAAATAGGAAATAATTAAGGTCCTCCTATAAATGAGGAATAGCAACAGGGAGTAAGGCAGGTGGGGAGTATGGAGACGTTTGTGAAGGGAAGGCCAGCGTCCTGTGGGCATTTCTCTGACTGCAGTGGCCCAAAGTCAGGACCTGGGAGAAACCAGCCAGTAGAACCAATGTCAGTGAGTTTTCTTTCTTCCTGATTACCTCTTAGTTTTTGTATATATTTAAGTGTGCTGAGTGTAGACAAAAGTATTTGGGTTCTTAACCTGGAGATGGAACTAGGAAGGAAAATGATTTTGGCTAATATGAGTGTGTTCAGTGCAAACCTGCTAGGCGAGTTAAAAGTCTTTCTAGTTTGATGTCTTAGTATGAACAAAATATTGTCTCTACTTCCTTCAGGAAGACTTGTTCACAGTTTTCATCATTTCTTTGATGGAGCAGCTATATAGCCTTTGAAACATGCCCTTGGTGCTCTGATTTTTAATTTAAACATATGGACACAGTTTTCCTTGGATTTGGAGCAATAGTGCCTCCACGAAGGATGATCAGGAGGGAGTGGTAGCCTGGTAAGAAAAGCAGCTCAGTGCTACAAATGGAAGCCACTCCATATTTACACATGGTCTGTTCTTGCCAATTAAATCAAGCCAGGTCTTACCATCCAGTTAAATGACCGGCTACTGATCATTTCTGGTTTGATTTGCTATACCTTTGAGGCAAAAGCTTAAAAGCTGTGTAAGTCTTTAACAACAGGCGCTTGTTCACACATGTTTAAAGACTGAAGGAAATAAATGGATTTCAGCTATGAACATTTTGTGATTCTTTTTTAAACTTGTAAACAAAAGCACTAATTTCATCTTTCATTCCTGATTTCTCAATTATCTTTCTATATAAAAGTAACATGTCTGCATTTTTATTTTAGGAATCTTTCAAAGAAATACCAACCTAAAAAGAACTCGAAGGAGGAAGAAGAATACAAGTACGTTTATCATGGATAATTGTGTGGGACTGTCTATATGCCGTTGGTGATGATTATGAAGGGAAAGAAGAAATATCTATCTATAAAAATAAGTTGCAGTCCCCATTCATATATGTGTCAGTTTTTAAATTGGGGTAGAGAACAATAAAAACAAACTCAATTAGCTTTTCTTATACAGAGTCTTTAGACCTTTTCCAGATGTTTCAGTTAAAGTAATTAGGAAGGCCAGGCGCAGTGGCTCACACCTGTAATCCTAGCACTCTGGGAGGCCGAGGCGGGAGGATTGCTCGAGGTCAGGAGTTCTATACCAGCCTGAGCAAGCAAGAGCGAGACTCTGTCTCTACTATAAATAGAAAGAAATTAATTGGCCAACTAATATGTATAGAAAAAATTAGCCAGGCATGGTGACACATGCTTGTAGTCCCAGCTACTTGGGAGGCTGAGGCAGAAGGATTGCTTGAGCCCAGGAGTTTGAGGTTGCTGTGAGCTAGGTGACACCACGGCACTCAGTCTAGCCTGGGCAACAAAGCGAGACTCTGTCTCAAAAAAAAATAATAAAGTAATTAGGAAAAATTTAGAATATAATCTAAACAAATATAGGAAGTATGGATTATACATTCTAGAGTCTAGATTTGGTTTGGTAATATCAGGAGTCTCCTGAGTGTCATAGTACTCATTCATCTAAGAAATATGTCCATTTCAGTAAGCAATTAAGGCATTTTAACATGGATAGCCCAAAATATTATGTCTCCAATGTAGACCTAAATATCCTTTACGTTAGTATGTATAGCATGTATGTGAATTTTGGGTTATATCTGGATTTAGTATTAACAAAGCCAAATAGTACATTACATAGAGCAATTCAGTTTCACCAAAATGAAAAGTGTTTTGATTGTAATTAATTCTGAGCCATTTTGATGAGAACACTTTATGTGTAATGAATTGTCAGGATCCTATGGGAGGTCAATGCAAATTAACCCAGTATTAATTAATATTTCCTCAGCATTGAGCAGCGTTAAGATGGACGTGGCCTTGTTTGAAAAGAATGGTGTTTGTTCTGTTCTACAGATATACATCATGTAAAGCTTTCATTTCCACCCTGAATGAAACGAATGATTACGCAGGGCAGCATGAAGTTATCTCCGAGAACATGACCTCACACATCATTGGGGACTTAGCACGCTACATTCAGGAGCTGAAACAGGAGAGGAAATCGGTAATAAAAAATGTATTTATTTTCCTTCCTAAGAGATAGACCGACGACAATGGGATTATCCCTAGAACATTTAAAATCGAATGGAGACATATAAGATGATGGATCTTAAACTGACACCTTTGAGAATCATATAAAAGTTATGGACCCTGTTTCTAGAAAACATTTCTAGGTCTCCATGTACAGTTTCAAGGGTCCCCCAGACACTGTCAAACTCATCTGCAGACCCTAGAATATGAATCCCTTTGAGGAGTTAAAATATATTTGAGGATATCAGACATTTTAAAAAGTAAGCAATATAATATGGTATATGCTGTGTGGAATAAATAGTATTCATATAAATGCTTATTATGTATGGCTCACGCCTGTAGTCCTACCACTCTGGAAGGCCGAGGTGGGCTGATTGTTTGAGCTCAGGAGTTCAAGACCAGTCTGAGCAAGAGCAAGACCCCATCTCTACTAAAAATAGAAAAAAAAAAATTGGCTGGACAACTAAAAATATATACAAAAAAAATTAGTCGGGCATGGTGGCGCATACTTGTAGTCGTAGCACTCGGGAGGCTGAGGCAGGAGGATTGCTTGAGCCCAGGAGTTTGATGTTGCTGTGAGCTAGGCTGATGCCATGGCACTCTAGCCTGGGTAATAGAGTGAGACTCTGACTCAAATAGATAAATAAATTAAATAAATGCTTATAAGAAGGTAAAAAAAACCAGAAAGATGACCTCAGTGCATTCATTCTGTTCCTTGGCCCATTCATTGCCATCTAATAAAGCAGATCTCACGGTTCCTCTTGCTCCCATTGCAGTCTTTTCATAGGGAGATTTTATTGCTAACAAATGAGAAAAATGTACATTCAAAATAAAGTATAATCACAGTCAAGATATCTGTAAGTCATGGTCTGTATCATTGTACTTTGATTGCTTTGATTATTACTTTGATTGCTTTGATTATGTACTTTAGTAACAAAGTACCAAAGTTGGGCAGTGATACACTTTTTCATATAAATTTGGGTCCACAATAATTCTTTTAGTGCCCTGGAGATACATGGGTCAACAGGATAGATATGGTCTCTGCTGAAGTGGAGGAGGCATTAAGTAACAATAACAAACATGATTATTTAATTGCAATGATAGTTGCTACAAAGTAAGAGTACAAATGGTGTGAGAGCAAATAACAGGAACACCAGACATGCTTATGCTCCAAATCAGGACAGAGCTTCCTGGGGCTTAGCAGTTAAGGCCTGGAAAACACTTGAGGGATGCATAGGAATTTCCTGGGATAAGCATTCAATAGGGAGCAGGCAGTGCAAAGGCCCTGGGACAGGAAGGTGTTTGGAATAGCTGGATTGAGTTATTTCTGAGCTATAAATATGTAGCATATGGTTTTGGATATGTTTAAAAGTTAGGAAGAGAAGATACATGCCTTAAGATCAACCCATTGGGTTAAAACAACATGCCAGTATACTGAGATGGAGAATTTTTATCCATGCTGCCTTAAGCCCCCGTCATGCCTGTTAAGAACCTGGCCTCACATAACCACCTGAGCTGTGCTGCACACCTCCCTAGCCCCACTCCATGAAACCAGTCCCTGGTGTCAAAAAGGTTGGGGACCGCTGGTCTGGGGGATGGTAGCTGGGGGATTGCTACTGGTATCTAGTAAGTAGAGGTCCCAGAGGCTGTTAAATATCCTGCTATGTGCAGGACGGCCCTCATAACAAAGAATTACGTGGCCAAAATGTCCGTGTTGCTGAGGTTGAGAAACCCTGTACTGAAGCCCAGAATTAGATGACAACCTCTGCTAGACCATTCATTAAAGGAGATTCTTTTCTAATGTGACAGAAAGGACACAGTGAAACAGAATACTAAGGTTCAGAATGAAGTACAAATATCTAATATTATGATAAAATAATAAACACAATAAATCTTAACACAGTGTTGGACTGCTTCCCTGTTCCTGAACTGCCCTTGACCTTGCAAAGGTTTGTGTCTTCTTCCTGTTTGTTACTTTGGTCAATGCTTTGTGTCTCTTCACTGACCTTCTCCACCCATGTAGTTTAGTGTATCAGCCAACTCCCTAAACAAAACCTCTGTGCATTTACCTTAGTAGGAGTGTAAATTCCATTTCTGGAGTGAACCATGAGTTATGAAGCCCACATAATCTGGCCTCCTACGTCCTCTCTGGATCCCTCTCCCCCAACCAGTGGCCTCCTTGCCGCTTCTCTCACCCCTGCTCGGGGTGTTCCTGCCTTCAGGCCTTTGTCCTGGCTTTTCCCTCCTCCAAAAGCCCTTTCCCCAGAAATCTGCAGGGCTTGCTCCCTCTCAGGAATGTTGCTTTCTCAGTGAGGTCATTCCTGTCCACCTTCTTTAAAATTACAGAGTCCCTCCACTCCCCCTCCTCCGCCTTGCCACCTTCCCCTGCCTCGCTTTTTCCGTAGCACTTACCAGCATCCAGCATTCTGTGTGTTTACCGCTGATGCTTTTCTTTCACCCCACACTAGAATGTAAGCTCCATGAGGGCAGGAATTTTCTTATCCACCGTTGTACCCCGAGTACCTAGAAAAGTGTCCGAGGTGGCACAGAGCAGGCTGTCAATCAGTACTGGAGGAGTGAAAGAAGTAATCGAGAAATAGAAGCAGCATCTTAAACTCAGCTTCGGGCTCAGACTCTGTTTACTGGTTGAGGATCCTTGTGTGCCATTGTTGTGCTATGACTGAGTTGTTTTATTTACTCACTGTTAATCATATCTTTTTTATAGTCAGTTGTATCTGTATTTTGAATTCTGTCCCTTTTTTAAAATCAGAAATTATAGTAATTTATGGAGTAAATTATAGGTGGTAGAGATACACATTAAATAATATCTTGCAATACATAGTATTCCTTTTATTTTAAGGAGAATTACAAGTGCAGGTCTCTGAGTCAGATGTTCTGTTGAGAGGATCTGCAAACTCTCTTGAAACATTCTGTAATTAAATTAAAATGACATTTTAGAAGATTTTGAAACCTTTTGAAATACTAGAAAGTATCAGTAAACAGATGCATACTTGTGGTATTTTAATATAATGTCTCATGGACATTCTTTTCTTTTTTCTACATTATTTTGAATGACTGCATAGTGTGGTATTATGTTGCATGCTAATCACTGCAATTCTTAAAATTATTCTGATAAATTGGGTATTTAATTGTTTAGCCTTGAATGTTCATTTTTATACATTATAATAGCTAACCTCGATTGCACTTTTCATTTAACCCTCACAATATCCCTTGGGAATGGGGACCATTATTTTACACATTTTACCCAAGACGAGGACCCTGGAGCACAGGCAGGTGAAGTGAGCCGGGCACGTTGCACCCGAAGTGGAGCTGGCTCCACACCCAAGCAGCCTGCCTCTCGGGGCAGCGTGTGTGTGTGTGTGTGTGTGTGTGTGTGTGTGTGTGTGCGCGCATGCACATTTTTGTTTCTATTGAGTTGTTTTCTTTAACTTACATGCAAGGATGGTGGATTAGATAGCATGAACATCTTCATCTGCCATTAGCTTTAGAAAAGAAGCTATTTGAGATCTTCTCATAGTAACCAATATTCCTCCTTTAGAACTTTTACTTTTGGCTACCCTGACTTTTCTTAGCAAACTCTCATTTTTATAAGGATGACTCTTAAAACAACTGTAGAATGCTATCATTTCCATTTTCTAGTGAGGTTAATTAGAGTAAAAACTCAAATTCGGGTCTCCTAGTGCCAAATCCAGTCACCTTTCGCTGTGCTACTATGAAAAGCTGATAGGCAGCTTCAGGTCTTTCTTAGAGAATGGGCGAGCCGACAGCAGGGCGGTATCCACAGAGCTGGCGCTCCCTGCTAGGTGGTGGGGAAAGGAGCGGATAGGACACAGGCTTTCTAGCCAATGACCCCCCTTAGGATTCCTAGCAGCCCTACCAGCTGTGACACCTTAGGCAGGTTCTGAAAACTCTTAGCTTGCACTTCTGAATCTGTAAATTGAGGCTGATTATATCCACCTTAGAGAGTTGAAGGGAGGATTGCAGGAGGACAAATACAAACCACCCAGCATAGCATTCAGGTGTATCAAGATATAGGCACTGTATAACCGGTTTCTCTTACTATGGTCATTCTGTTTCTCAATACAGAATCTCATTTCCACCCCAGAGCTTCTTGATCAGGGTTTATTACAGAAAACAGGAGCATGTACAGGCCGCTCGTGACCATATGTCATAACAGTAGTTGTCCAGTCAATTTAAAATGACCTTTCTAAAAATGTTGAATTGGTTGATGGCATTGAAAACAAGCTGCTTTTAAAATTTTAGACCTAGCTACTATTTCTCATGGCTGACTAGAAATAATGCCTTGCTTAAGTACCATTCTTAACAATCAAACAATCAGTATAATACAAATTGGGCTATTGGATATAGTGGCAGAGCCCTGTCTGCCCAAAGGGATGATTTAGAAGTTACAGGATTACTATGGATCTCCTTACTGCATGTAGAAAGAATGGCCATGTGCAGTGGAGAATACTGGTAGAAAATTAGTTTTCATCTAGATTTTGCTATGTTTGAATAGGTAAATCTCCAACTAGGGTCAGCATGATAAAGAATGGCTCACTATGCAAAAGAGGAAGTTTCCTTCTCTTTGTGTACGAATTTGAAAGGAAGTAGAAGAAAATAAGGTAGAAGGAGAGATTGACACTCTCCTTGCCTTTGTGGCCATATCAAGATAATGAGTGTGCTGTTCGATCTTTAAGTCTTCAAATCTCTAACTGTAAAATAGGATTAGTACTTCCATTTATGTTTCCAGGAGAAAAGATGCTTTTTATGAAGTACATATGTTATATTCATATATCACAATGCAGTTCACTCTCATAATACTATGAATAACCAGTGTTTGTCCTGATACACAAATCTGTAGGCTCATTTTGGTGAAAATATGTTGTATTTTTTAAAGCAATTTCTTTCTTTTTCTTTTTTCTTAACAAGTTCCCAGGTGCCATTAAGAATGAA